TTGGAAATGGCGCTGTGGATATTTCAGCTTCACCCTTTGTTATTGCCATTAAAGACTCTGGAATACGTGTGCTTCCCTCGATTATGAATGGTGTTGTACTTGCGGCGGTTTTATCCGTTGGAAATTCTAGTATTTTTGCATGCTCACGTACTCTTTGTGCTTTGTCAAACCTAGGTATGGCGCCTAAAATTGTTAGCTATGTGGATCGCAATGGAAGGCCATTGGTAGCGACTATAATCACTTTGTTAGTTGGACTGTTTGGATTCCTGGCTGTATCCAAACATCAGCAAATCATTTTTTCATGGATGATGGCCACCTCTGGAATATCTTCTATTTTTACCTGGTCGTCTATTTGCTTGGCCCATATCAATTTCCGACGCGCTTGGAAACTTCAGAACCGATCACTAGACGAAATTCCTTTTAAAAGTGGACCTGGAGTCACTGGTTCTTATCTTGGGTTTGTTCTGAATATTATCATTCTAGCACTAGACTTCTATGTTGTGTGCAACCCGGTTAGTGGAAAGCTAACAGCTGAAAGCTTCTTTCGAAAACTATTGACTGTGCCGATTGTCATTATTCTTTTTGTTGCCTACAAGTTGTATTACCGGTGCTCTGTTGTGAAGCCTAAAGAGGCTGATCTTGCTTCTGGCAGGCGAGAACTTGATCTAGAAGAGTTTCAAAAGGTGCTCGAGCTTGAAAGGGAAGAGCTGCGTCAGAAACCTTTGTACAAAAGAATCTTTTACACCCTTTGTTGACCGCACTCGGCGATCGTACTAGGCTCCAGCCCTCCTTTCACTTGATTTTCTTCTTTTAATTTTTTTCTTATTATTGTTAAAATGGATTTCTCAATATTTTGGTTGAAATAATAGTAACTCAAAAGAAGAAGAAAAACATATAACAAAGATGCATCCTACCTGTATTGTACCAAAGCAAATCCCCCGGGTATAAACTTAGACTGACCCTGAATGCTCATCCCCAGACGCGTATCTTATGAAGGAAAGCTAGGTACCGTGAAGTACTGCGGTCGTTTAGACATATGGCCTGATGTTGATGCATTAGGTGTGGAATGGGATGACCATCGAAATGGAAAACATTCTGGCATATACAAGGGCCAACAGCTATTCACCTGTAAGTATGACCATAATCGCTTCAGTTGCGCATCCACTAACTTCCAGGTACGATTGAAGGCTCAGGATCATTCATCAAAGCGTCAAGGCATGAAGATAAAAGAAATGAATTTTATGAAGCTATTGTCTCTAAGTATACATGTATTCCTCCCTCCTCTGCAAATGTGGTGTTTGGATCAAAGGTCGCAGAGGAAATCGGTTTAGACCGCGCAAGACTATTAGATGACTTGGAGATTGTTTCTTTGCCTCATCAGTGTATTGACAAGGTAGACTTGTTAAATGCGAAATCGCTGAGCACTTTACGGAAACTAGATCTATCCTACAATTTGTTCGAGTCTTTTGATCCCATACATGAGATTTGTAGCAATCATCCAACAATACGTGAACTATCCATTGAAGGCAACAGGTTTATAGCCGCATTTCACGCCAGCTCACCGTTGGATAGTGTTCAATCTCTAGATATAAGCAACACTCGCGGATGTGAGGGAATCATCTCACTGTTTCCTAACCTTACAAAACTACGGGATTGCTCTAACCATCATTCATCATATTCGTTAAACTCCACAGTAATCAAGTCGCTAGACTTATCCAATAATTGCATTCACCAGATTCCCTCAATACCAGAAACTCTTGAAGAATTACATCTCGGGAAAAATCAAATCAGAAATTTACAGGGCCCGACATCGCACAACAAGCTTCAGTATCTCGATCTGCGTGACAATCAGATCGGATCATGGGAAGATATGTATTCGGTTTCTTCTGTATTTCCAAGTTTACGTGAACTTCGTTTTCTTCGTAATCCTGTTGTTTCAGCAATAGAATCCGGAAGAGCGCGCTGTTTCATTGTATCAATATGGCCTCAGATCACAAAACTAAATGGAACTTACATATCACAAACAGAGCGACATGATTCCGAGTTATTCTTCATTCAAAAACTGATCGATAGAGAAATCACCTTTGATGGTATTAAGTCGACAGCATTGTGGGATTACCTAGTCAGTAGATATGGCTATGATACCCTGAATCGTCAGCCCATATCGGTACCATCAAGGATCAAAGTCACATTTCAATATCAGTCAAAGCGAATTTTCAAACAGCTCCCCGGTTCAACACCTATCACCCGAATAGTTATGGTCTCAAAAAGACTGTTTAAACTAGAGCAAGGGGTTTCAATTTCATTGACGGTCCAAAACGAAGATGACGGTCCCACATTGGATGTCAATTTGCTCGACGGGTCAAAAACCTTATCGGACTATCAATTCGGTGATAGCGGTATAATTATTTTAGTGAACCTTTGTTAATCGTCTTCAGCTTCACTTTCGCTTGTGTCATAATCAACAGGAGCAAGACCAGGAGTCAAACCTTTCCATTGTTCTTCATCTTTATGTTTGTCGTAATGTGATAATGAGCTTAACCTGGCCACACTTTCATCTTCTGAGAACTCTTCTTCTGATTCTATAATACTAGAGATTATATCATCACTGGCGCTAAGTTTCTGAAGATTATTGAGAGTTTTTCGTCGCGCCTTTGCTTGATCTTCAATACCATTTGCAGGAACTACTTTCCGTCGCTGCACTGCATTCAGGTGCTTCTGCGTTGACTTCTTTCTTGTACCAGTCACACCGCCGTTCCTCCTACTAAGTAAGCTACTAAGTGCACTACTGCCAATACGGCTCTTTCGTTTATAAGTGGAGGTTGCCATATTTTGTGCTCTCTGCTCTCGAAGAAAGAAAAATATAAACTAGAGATATCTTCGGTCCCGTGATCCAACGCTTACGATTGGTCAGTTCCCTCCCAACTTTACCCCTAACCCGAATTTTTTCAACTTTTCTTCTCGGATTTCACGTCCTTTCCATTACTAATATCGACCTTTCCAGCATTTTTGCCTCTCTTTCGAACTTGATCTGAGACAAGATTGAGGGACTTGCATAATTATTTTTGATTAGCTTATGAGTGCTATATTATCTGAAGAATCTCTGAATGATTTTATCACTCCGGGACTTGCGTGTATTAAACCCATCGAAACATCTAAGGACTTCAATAACTCGAACAAGAGGATAGAAATTCAGTTTGATAATGATGGATCCGCTATAGAAATCAACTCAGAAACTTCTACAACACTTACCCCTGCTCAAATAAGCTTGACTGATTGTCTAGCTTGTAGTGGGTGTATCACGTCTGCAGAATCGGTCTTGGTGGCTTCACAATCCCATACGGAAGTTTTAAATGCATTGAGAGATGAAACTAACAAAGTGTTTATTGCTACAGTAAGTCACCAAGCACGTACATCTTTTGCAGCTTCTTTTGGTCTATCAATAGAAGCTTCTGATAGAAAACTTATGACGTTACTTGGCGAAAAACTTGGATTCAAATATATCGTCGGGCTCGAACCGTTTCGTCAGATATCATTAATGGGACAGGCTAATGAGTTCTTAACACGTATTCCTCGCGATACGACTGACCTTCAGAATGTTAAACCTGTTATATGTTCTATGTGCCCCGGATGGGTATGTTACGTGGAAAAGACTCATCCACACATAATCCCGTACATGTCTAAGATACGTTCACCACAGCAAATAGCTGGGGTGATTTTAAAAGACATCATTGCCAAAGAGGTAGGTTGCAAAAAGAATGAGATCTACCACGTCAGTATAATGCCTTGCTTTGATAAAAAGCTGGAGGCAGCTAGAGAAGAGTTTTCGGACAATGAGACCGGCAGTAAGGATGTTGACTGCGTTATTACAACTCGTGAAATAGTGCAACTTTTGGAAAATGAGAACATGGATTTCGCGGCATTGGAGTTGAGCTCTGAAGAAGCATATTACACCTACGCACCTGCGAACTGGATAGATGATGCAAAAGAAGCATGGAAATCGCATGATGGTTCGTCGTCTGGTGGTGCTTTGTACTACAACGTTAAGAACTTCCTGAATGTTCTGCATAAGGAATACCCTCAAAGAAACATTGATGTGCAGGTGATTCCTGGTAAAAACAACGACTCGATAGAGTATGTTGTAGCAGATCAGGACTCTGGAGAAGTATTTGGTCGCGCTGCTCAACTTTATGGTTTTCGAAATATTCAAAATCTTGTACGCAAGCTGAAAGGGACTAATCGACGTCGAAGAGATAACGTGCTACCTCAATGGAATTATGTGGAAGTTATGGCGTGCCCTGGAGGATGCGTAAATGGAGGTGGCCAGATTGGTGCGCCAGACGGGGTAAATGACAAAGAATGGCTTGATAGATTGAATGCGATCTATTCCCAAATTGATAAAACTACTATCAATGAGGAAAATATACGCGGGTGGGTGAACAAGCTAGGCATCTCAGCTGAGAGCTTTCTAGATTGTGAATTTACCGAAGTGAAACCAGATCCATCAATGAACGCTGCTTTAGCATATGGTTCAAAATGGTAAATATTAGCATGTAAGGATATAATGACTTTAATGATACTTAGTAACATTTCCAGTATGTACAGCATAATCACTTTCTATCAAATAATATCCTTTCTCGAGCTTCCAGATAGCGTTTCTCATGCTCCATTTGTTTCTTTTCTTTCCATAATTTGACCTCTTCTGCATTTAATCCTTCGAGTTCTGAATCTATCACACCTTTTTTTACGATGTTATGATTGCGCGATAGGATTTTAACCTGCGCCCTGTCTGTCGATTTGGCTTCAGACTGATCATTACTGGGGATCGACTTCTGCACTGGTAGGTTGACTTTAGGAAGTTCTATAGAGTCAATTTCATCAGAAGCAGTTTCCCAATCATCTATCCATGGCTTTTTAGACATTCTCAAATATATTCATTAACGTCACTGCAAAAAATAGCGATTGCAGCTTAAGAAACGAAAAAAAAAAAAAAAAAAAAGTGCGATGACTGTGGATTGAACACAGGACCTTCAGATAACAATGTGACTGAGTAAACTTCAGTCTGACGCTCTCCCAACTGAGCTATCACCGCTGTCGATTACAAAGACTTTTGCGACAGTTTTTTACAAGGTTATGATTGCTCTGCAGAAACAAATAGTTGTTTTTGTATAGAATTGCACTTACGCACCTTTCTTAACGATAAAAAGGAATATTTTTTCTAGTATTATTTGGACGTTTCACCATTTCGGTGCTGAATCTTAAGCGACCTACACAGATAAAACCGAATTGTCAGTTAAAGCGGCACGCTTGCCTAGTGAAGAAGGAGTGTTCGGGTCCAATCTGACGAACACTTTCGTGAATGGAGAAGATGAGGGACTCATAGCTGCAGAAAACTCCTCTGCAACCTGGCTCAACGGCATTGACTTTTCCGAGCTTATACGAACTGGCGGGTTGACCCGTCGCCGTTTAAATTCAAGCATGATAGTGTTGCTGTCCGGCGTATGCACGATTTGGCAGCTATCAACATTGTCCAATTGATAAAGCAAGGTAGCAATTTTTTCATTGTTGTAAGAACGTAGTATCTTCCATAACTCATCATCCGTAATCCAAAGGTCGAATTTTGAGATAATGTTAGCTTTCACTGCCGTACGAATGATCTCACCCATAATAGAAGAGCACACTCCGCTAAGAGGATCAGACCATCCAATAACATCGGTATTTCTATAAGCTTCTGCAAACTTGGCTGCTATTTCCGCAGTTTTAAACACGATAGCTCTATTGGGGTCTGAAAGGTCAGCTGACGGGAAGGCTTGTAGATCATTCAGAAGTTCTTTGGCATCACTTACAGTCAGTAAATTGTAAACCATTGCATCGCGGATGCCATAATCTACTCTGTCAGCACACAGCGCTGGGGTAGAACGTTCAACCAATGGGTAGTTTTCTTCGCAGCAGACAACTTCGAAGTCGTAATTGTGCGATTCAAGTATTTGGGGTATTTGCGATCTTTTGAGATATTCCCATTTGTAAACTTCATGGAATGACCCACCTTCATCTGGAAACGCCACATCCAATGTGTGGCTCATTGCCGTATGGCTGATATCATGAAGCAGAGCACTAATCTGTTCTTCAACTGCACCTCCTAAGCGACGTACTAGTAACATTGCTCCTATGGAGTGTTCATATCTCGACACGGGAAATACGCCTAACTTCGGAATTGTGGAGGATAAGCCATATTGCATAACTCCTTTGAGTCTTTGAAAATCAGGGGAAGAGATTAAATCTACCAAGACCTTTTCATCGATGGTTACTTCACCATAGACGATATCAGATATCTCGATCGTGGTTTCAGTTAGATTGACCTCTGGACTTCTGTATGCGGTTTTTGTAGGTGTTTTTCTATGGAATGAAGTCTGCTGTTTTATAGGAGTAGTGAAATTATATGACATTTGGTATATAGTTCAAAGAAAAAAGTAAGGTGAAGCAGTAAACAATGATACGCGTATAGCTCCCAAATCAAGTATATACGACTTCGGAGAGCGTAACAGATTTCAACTATATCATATTTTCACCCGCCCAGCATAATAATTGTACTAAAAAATTAGTCAGGTAAGCCAAATACATGAAATAATAATATTGTTTATGCAAGTAGTTTGGAAACAGCCCATTGCACAGACAATGTCCTTAGGTCAGTGTACATCTGACCCGTCCCGACAAATATGATAGGTATTTGGGTGGTGTAAGTCATGTTGACCATCGTGCCTAGCATATCTCCAACTGTATCACATTTAGATATCAAGAAATAATCGACATTCCTGGAAGGTCCGAAAGCATTATTAAAGTTTTTGGCTTGCTGCACAGCATCTGTGCCCACTAGCGCTTCAGCAACCATTATAATCTTATCCGGTTTGGCAAGATTAGCGAACTTCTCTAATGAAGACATCAAGCGTTGATCGTTATGTCTGCGGCCTGCTGTGTCAATGAGCACTACATCGTACCCATTTTTTGCACCATATGAAACAGCGTCGCGGGCTGTAATAGCGGCATCTTTACCATACCCTTGTTCAAAGATATCAATATCACCAGTATGAGTTGGATCACGACTGCATAGCTCTTTCAGACTTGAAACATGAACGCGTAATTGTTCCACAGCGCCTGATCTAAAAGTGTCGCAAGCAGCTATCAGTATCTTCATTTTATTTTGCAACAGCCAGTATGCTACCTTCGATAAACTGGTTGACTTACCGACACCGTTAACGCCGACAATAGACAAAACATAAGGAGTTTTTGTAGATCCGCCTTTAATTTTGGACTTGATATCGTGGAGTAGATCAATTGAAGTAGACGGGGTCAGCACTTTCTTCAAACTTTGCTCCATAGCATTAGTCACTATAGTGTCTGATCTTGTAAACGCCTTTTTGGAAGTTCCTGATATTGAGGATTTAACAGATTCACACAGCGCGTCAGCTACTTCAGAAGTAACGTTCTTTTTAATGAGTCTATCTTTCAAGGTAGACAATGCCGCATCGATGTCACTATCTGTGACACTGCTGCCAAATAGAGATGTGACGGAGCTTAGGATACCGGAAGACCTTGCCGTGTTGGAAGTTTGGAGATTTTGATCTGAGTCGTCATTCATTATATCATTAACAAGATCTCGAACAATGAAATCTTCGCCTTTTATGTCGCCCCAGTTTTTGTCTATATTGACATTTAGAGAAACACTGGACTCCGGGCCGGGAGTGGACTGTTTTGAGAGATCCAAGTCAGATGAATCGGCATCAGATGTATTAAAAGATCCGTCCATATTCCATTTTCGCAATAACTTTGAAGACTTTTGGCTGGAATCGCCTGATTCGGATTTCTTTTTCAGTTTCTTGCCTCCGCGTTTTTTATGCTTTGGACGTTCAGGCTCTGTGTCATCATTTAGCTGCTCACTAGGTTGGTCATTTATGTCGACTAAAGCATTGTAGCATACGTCGAAGTGTAAAGAGAAATCTAGGTCGAAATTCTCATCCTTTGTTTGTTCAGCAAAGTATTTGATAAACAATGATTTTGTTTTGGATAGAAGTTCAGGTACATAGCTCGGAGACAATTGTGACTGATAAGTAACTGCAATAACGACGTCAAGATCATTGATTGTTGCATATTGCACTGAATAGCCATCATACTTATATTCGGAAACGACAGAATTGCTTATTAAAACATCTTTAATGAATTGATTTATTATACGATTGTTATCATTTAATGATTTTTGCCACAGCACTAATCCGCCTTTTGTAAATATTACAAAATCTTCTATCATGTTCAGGTGGTTGGTTGTCAGAGTTTGACTTTCGGCATCATTCCGATATCATGTCTTCAATAGCTACAAAAATGATTGTCGCCACCCTGGGTTTTGGTGTAGGTGGTTATATCGGTATAAGTTGGTTTGTAGATGAACCTTTATTCAAAAGAATACCAAATAATGAGAACCACAAGAAATTCAGGATGTACACGAAAGACTCATACATGGAATCTAAGGGTCTCACTGAAGCACAACTCTATGACCCCAAAACATACACTGCTGATGCAAATCAAACTAGTGAACCTCTTACAAAAGTAGTTGAAACGAATAAATCTAACTGGTATTCAAAATTCTTCTCAAAATGATTCATAAACCTGGCCTGCGTGTGGTTCCTTTTCCTTCACTTGTTAACGCTGAACAACACATTTCTAAACCCTTGAAAGGGCAGATCTTCAAGGGTCAATCTGGTTTAGAAAACAAAAGATACGACCCTTGTGTTTGTGCCCTGGATTTGAGATCTTACTTAATATATTTACTATAACTCGTGTTTTCTCCTGTTGTCTTCTCTGTTCGCACATTACTCATTATGATCTTGCTCCCTCAACTACTCGCTTGCACGGCAGTCTCAGCTTTCATAGTGCGTGAAGGCAACTTTTTCTCTGACTCTAAAACTGGAGGAACTGTAACGTTTAAAGGCGTGGTTTATTCTCCAGGTGGTCCTCCTACTCTTTCCAGCCCTCACGACCCACTTGCTAATTCTGATGCCTGCAAACGTGATGTACAGACTTTACAGTTTCTTGGTATTAATTTGATCCGCGTAGACTACTTTGATCCTTATCTGGATCATGCAGTCTGCATGAATCTTTTAAAAGAAGCCGGAATACAGGTCCTTGTTGATATATCGCCAATGGTGAAGTCGCCTACCAAGAGCAAATCTGCTTTATACACTAAAAGCTATCTCAAATACATGTTTGAAAGCATCGAAGAATTAGCTCAGTATTCCAATGTTATGGGAGTGCTGGCCGAATCTAGAGATCTTATTGATTCTTTAGACGCATCTACGATCAAAGCTCTCATACGAGATCTAAAGCACTATATATTCCAGAACATTAAACAAAAAATACTGGTCGGATTTTCTGCCTCTATAATGCAGCCAAACTCTCTAGACCTGATCAGGTATTTTGAGTGCGGTGAGGATTTTGACACTGTCGATTTTGTGATTCTTCAGAACGACCGGGAATGCGTAGACCAAGACACATACAAAGCTCGTTTTGACGATCTGCGAAAACCTCTCTCTGGATTTACTGTGCCTATAATGCTTGGAAATATTGGTTGTGACTCTTTTGTTCCACAAACGTTTATTGACCTGGCAGTAGGATGCAACACTAAAGAACCGTTCTTCGCTGGAGCTATAGCTTTCCAATATTCTAGGGAAATCAATGGACGCGGTTTAGTCGATATTGATCACGAAACCTCGGATGTCACCCTGCACAAGGATTTTTATAATTTACTGCAGAGGTTTCAACAATTTAGTTTACCAAAATCATTGCCTGCTCCGAGGATTCGCCCCATATACTGCATTGAGAAGTACGGAGCAATATCAGCTAACGTTCCGTTGCCTGTGACTTTAGGAGCTGAATTGATTCTTAACGGAGTTCAGGTCCCTGCTAAAAACTCAAAAGCAATGGACCTTGTTTCTGCCGTGGATCCATCAGAACAACAGCATGAGAAAGTTGCTCAAATAGACAAGAATCTGCCGAACGATGAGGCCCAGAATTCTGCACCCCCTGAAACATCTAAAGCCAAAC